ACCAAGCATGTGCCAAAACAGTATTGTTCAAGTATTCATTCACTTCCTTATTTTGTATAAGCGTTATATTCCCTATTATATTATATTGAATGTTGAAAGCCTTTGTTTATCTGAACAGATAATCCCACGCTCCACTGTGACTACGCTAAGATCGAAATAAAGACCTATTCACTACTTGTCTGGTTTCTTCTATCAATAGCACGAGGGTTACCTATAGGCACGAAATATGTTCTCCAGAAGTAGGTAACATCATATTGGTGATTCTTATGATAGGACGAGTCAGTGTAGACAAGGATGTGACTTCCACGTAAGATCTTATAGATAAGGTGGTTAAATCATGACAAATCTGCAATTTTAGGAATAGGTCGAACGTCATATCAATACAAATAACGAACTAGACCATAGTTCAACAATCTTACCTTTTCATAATGATAATGTGATTTTTCGGACTTGTTTCGGGAGGTGTTTTGGGGAAGGCGATAAATCTTTGTTGCACAAGTTTTTCATTATGTTACTTTCAATCGCGAAAATTTCAGTGATCTACATTTTCAAGTATAAGCAGTAAGACTGAAAAGACCGAAGTGCTAATATTCGATTTGAACGCAGAACTAACGAACCAAAATTTATTCTGTTAGACCAGATGACGCTCTTCTGTGTAGTGTACAAGGCGTTTCTGAGTTACTCTTATCAAATTATATAAAAAAACAAATTATGTGTTCAATTTTTAAACGCTTTTTATTTAAGAAAACGTACAAATTATCAAAAATACAAAATATTTCAAACAGTACGGCTTGTGCTATACTGTCAAGTGTTTCCCTTACATAAATTAACGTGCTGAAAACCACTAAAATGGTCCCAACAAGATGGGATCAAATATCTGTCTGTAAGGATTCCAGCAACCTTTTCAAACTGACAGTCAAAGGTTAACAGTCATACACTGAACCACGCCGTGACCTAGAGCTTGATCAAACACGACCTTGCTGTCAAAAGTCCGACAACATGTAACGGCAAAATTAAGTAACAAAAGTTCAATCCAACCAGTTACACAATAAAAGCTTAGACGAGGAAAACTGGAGGACACAAAGTGTGGTTAAAAGAAATCACAGCCAAGGTTAAAAAAGAAGAAAGAGAGGAAACAAATGGGTGACAGTAATGTCCAACGAAATGCTGTGGAGGAATTTTCAGTGCTTGGATCAAGAACAGTTGCAACATGAACATTCATGAAAATATATACACCAGCGTAGAACAGGACCTCGTATATCAAATGAAAAATTTTCCAGAAGATTGTGTGAGACATTGTCACAGGTCTTAATAAAATCTACGTGTGTATTTATCAGCGACTGGACATAGTCTCATGAAAGGTGTGTGATTTGATATGCATAATCAGCGGAAGCCTGCGTTCCCCCCCAAAGGACGATTTTACGCCCCAAAGATGGCAATGAATATCTTCAAGTTTGGTGCTTCTGAATGTTCACAGTAATGATGCGTAACTTAAGTGGTTTGAATAGAAGGTGTTAAGGCTTCCGCGCTAGGGTTTAGAGAGTCTACTGCATGGATGATTACAGCCAAAAGCAAATAAGACATAATTAACGAAAGACTCGAAAGTTTGTACTTTGTTGATTGACACGAAAGGCATACAGAAAGGTTCTTGAAGCTCACAAAGGATGGTTATATCTAGTTTCAGGATGTCTTTGGCTGCCACTGGAACTCCATAACCAAGCAACTTTTGGAAGGACCATCAAACTTTTTAAGGTGGCCCTTGGATTATTTATGTATTGTCGAGGTCACTGGTCCAGAGGGGCTGTTCCAAGTCGTACATTCAGATATTGTCGGCTCCCTTTCACCTTTTAAGTTGTTCAGGCGTATATTTTTTGTGACAGGCAGATTTACTAAATAGGCTATAGCTTGCCCCATAAATAATTTATCGACAAAATCATTTGTTTCGACATTTATTAATCGTCGGACTTCCAACCATGACATCAACTTCACAACCACTACGTATCGTGACCCGCAATTTCAATCAGTCTTGACCCGCTAACTCCTAGGATTCATATAAACACGTGTCAGACAACTGCCTACCATCCTACAGCTAATGTTTTAACTGATAGGTCTCACTGCCAACTGAAAAGCCTGCTTATGCCATAGATTAACTAAACCATACGAAACTTCATCCAGCCTAACCAGCTTGAAATAGAATCGATGATCAAAGAGTACAACGGGTGTACGACAGCAGAACTAGATTACAGCACGTTTCTAGTCTCATCGGGATTGTTAGTCAAATACAACGATAGCCTTCGAACGGCCCCAACAAGTGTTACAATCCACGCAGGAGCTTAAGTCAGTCCCCACGGATGCACCTACTTTCCGTGAACAGCTAACTAAACACTAGGTGATATCGAAAATCATTTTGTCTATTCAGATGCTATTATTAAACCACTTTAAACACCATATGAGGGACTATACTGCATCATAGAACAAACGAGAGTATATTTTATCATTGAGAAGAGTGATAAGAAAAATATTTTCTCGACAAATAAATCGAAACCCACCGGTTTAGACAACCAGGAAGAATAGGGAAACGTCCGAACAAACAAGTTAGCCAAACTTCCTATTCTATCGAAGCCAGAACATGATACCAACCCATTCATAAACCCTACGTGCATAACTCGTAGAGTGGTTAAGCGGCCCGAAGTCTGTGTTCACTTTGCTATTTAGTTGTTATACAAACTGTCCAGTCTATTTTGTTTGGAATCATTAGGGGTTTCTGCTTCCCATGCTCACTGCTTCTATGATCATTTGAGTTATTTATTTAATTAATTAATTACTGAGTAGCGACTAATTTCCGTTTGTGAAGTCATTCCTAGTGCTGATCGAAATATATCCACGGGAAGTCCTGTCGTGTACTCTCAACCACCCACTCATATAATTTAATTGACACTCCCACATACATTTAAGCACATGTATACGTATATGTCAGCTCTACGTGTGCGAATCTTTTATTTTTACTGTCAGTAATCGATTTAATATCGTTTTAAGGCGTGTATCTAGGTACAAAGTTTATTATCTGTTGTCATCGATCATCAATTGTTGACTTCCTTGAACAATGCTTACATATTACATTGACTACCATCAACAAAATAAATCGCTTCGTAAGTCATGTCTTGTTCTTCCCCAATTTTATGTCATATCGGCGTATATCTAGTAAATCTAAACATTGACCTTGGAGTTTGAACTTTAAACTGGTAGACCAACCCAGTTACTGTTTTCAAACAAGGTTTGTGACCCGTAGGTTTGTTGTTTCTTTTACATTTGTTTCTTTTGTCGCTTTCTATTTCCAATAATAAAGCTAGCGCACATGCACAGTAATTGTATATGGACCAGAATCTACAAGGAAACGGTGTTTATGCTCATGTTTAACTTAATGAGACCCACGTAGAAGTTACTTTATTCTTGAATTCATGTTTCCGAACTCAGCTCTAAGTTCGCTATCGAGATTTGTTTAAGGTATCAACTCGGGAAATTTCTACAGCCAAACCAAACCCGAAGTACAAGGTACTTTTCATGGGGATCGGTTTGGTCACTGGATGTAACTCGTCACGCTGTATGGAATGTCTATCGGATTTTTCAGTCCTGCTCCTGAGTTGGGAACACCCAATATAGTTTTTTTTCCTTAGACTTGAAGAGATAGAATACCTTTCGATGCTAAGATCACCAATCCTCCACTTTCAATAGTATGACCGTAGCTGCTACGGTGACGTGGACTCAAGTAGACCGTATCATCACTCGTCGTTGGAGAGATTGGCGAAAGACCCCGTCGAAACGGGTGTTTAAAATAATCACGTCGTAGTGCGAGGATGCATTTGTCCGGATTTTACTTGACGTGGAAACGTCGGGAAAAGAGGACATATTCGTGACAAGACGGCTAGAATCATCTGGTGTTAAAAAAAGTAGATTTGTTGATCAAGTCCGTTGTTCAGTCGTAAGCAATAGTTAGAAATGTCAGACGACACGTCTCGAAATCAATTGCATTATCTCAATGCCATTCCTTTTCTTCAAACTTGAATCTCACCTGTTTCATTTGAACTACATTTCCCATTTCAGACTGCGATTAATATTGTCACCCCTTGCTTTCATCTTGCTAGTTTTTTCTTGCTGTGCTGATGTACAGCATGGTAGCTTAAATCGCTACATATTCGTGCTAGGTTTAGGGTCGTCTATGATTGCTATTTTGAACTCTACTGTCGACTATGCATGCACGTCATGGTAATAAAGTCACAAGCAAGACAGTTGAACCAACCCCAATGAAGGACATGTAAAAATTAATACTCTTACCACCATAACTACAACTGAGGAACTTCAATAATTTTTACACTCCAAGTTGCAAACATCAATTACTGTCTATTTTTCAATTTATGTAATAGAGTTTCTTTGATATCATGTTGGTAGGTGTAGACTACCTGGTTGGGGACCGCGAGATGATAGCAACCGATGGTTAGAGACCCTGAATGACATGGCTCAAAATCGTTTGCAATGGCGCAGGTGCATCCACTCTTTGTGTTCTCCCAAATTCTAATCTTCTGAATTCTTCATGCCCCTTTTTTTTCCTCTTTCCAAATTTATTTCACTGGATTATACTCGTTAAATATCATCTCCAAACCCTAATCTTCCCGATTACTGCTTATACTCTTGCTACCTCTACCACTACGGGATTTGAATCGACCACTGCATCTCTGTGCTAATGTGGTATGGCAACTCGAACTGATGTACGTACGTACTAAGTTCTACGCTGTTACTGACTGACTGACTGACTGATATCACTACATTGTATAATTTAGAGCAATTTACTCCCGAAAACTAAAAGCTTTGTAAAACTGAATACTTGTACTTTAAATATGGTAGATTTGTGCACAAGAGTTTAATTATAATTTCTTTAAGCTTATCAAGCGGTATCTCCTTGACAAAAGTTCCCATTTCTTTCTACTTAGATCTACAGATGAATTATGGCTTCGCGGCATGTTCCCTACACAGATATTTCAGATATGGGACGGGCAGCGCAGGAGGTATCTACTATTTCGAGTTGCTTGCTCATCTTTATATAGACTGAAATACAGCGTGCTGCCAATCAACAGCTTATTGAAGAAGGTAGAATAATTAAGCACAAGGAGCTTGAAAAAATGAGACGCGAAGTATGTCTTGTATAATCCAGTTTGATAAATTCATTTTAAGGAGGAAAGTAAGGATGACAGTAGTAGTGAGCGTCCTGACGTTATTATTAAAGTAAGTCCTTGCTATTGCTTTTACAACTAGTTACAATCGTATATATTTTAATTTTTGTATTAGGATTTCTAGAAATTGCGAATATCAGATAGTAATAAAGCATAAAATGTGGCTTATATATCGACCTAATTCGCCTCGCTTCTCATCAGGCTAACAAAAGGGAATAAAAAGGCGGAAAAGCGACAAGGTCAATCTTATTGTAGATTATGAGAAACTGCGAAAACTAGTGATCAGAGAATGGAAAGTATACAATAATCATCTTTGATATTTAGATTTACACCGCCCTCGGCAATCAATTTTAGGTTATAGCACCTAATCTCCACCCACTAGTTACGAACATTTCCTGATCGGTAGAGTTTCCTAGCTTCTTGTACGGCTACCACCAGCAGTTCATGACTTCATGAGCTGATGTTACGTATTGTTCTATTTACCTTTTACCAACGTACTTCCATACTAGATTACTTATTGTTAGTTTGAAACTTCAAACTTTCATTTCCCATGTATGCGTTTTTCATGTTTATGTGCTTGTAATCATATTTCATTAAGAAACTAACAACAAACCATTCAGGGATCAATTTAAGGTTGTGTTGAGCCGAACTTGTTTTGATTAAAAAAGGGATGAAAGGTTGTCTTTGTTTCCCTCATTATATTGTGTTGAAACGTTTGGTGATATGAGCTGTTTTAGTCTCGCCTATTAGTTGTTCTTTTGTTTTCATGGTGCAAATGTACCGATTACTCATTAATCAAAGCTGGTCTTAAAAAAACCATATTTACTGTTTATCATGCACGTAGATTAATAATGGGAGCACTTCACGCCTGAGTAGTCAGCGTTCTTCTGCCGATTTAGCATCATCAATCAGCTCAAGGAATTTGGATGCACGTGAGCTACGAGCCCAGTTACTGCAGTTGGAAGAAAAGGTTAAGGGGGCAATGTTATCAAATGTTCAACTAGACAATGATAAACAACTTTTGAAGTAGGTACTTACAATGTAAACTGTTCTAATTATTACCGTTTAATATAGTAATTTATGAATTGATTGCTTCCAGGACCTTCCAACACTTTTGATGTTTATCCACTGTCGAATTCATATACATCGGTTGGTGCACAACTTTCCTCGGTTATGTTTTAGTGTTAGAATGTATCAATGAAATCTGAAATGTGCTCTCCGATCGATTTGTGGCTAATGAGGTGCCTATATCTGGTTCATTGTGTATGTGTTTGAATATGATCTTTAAGCAATATAGCTTTGCTTAGTTGAGTGTATTACTAATACCTAGATGTTGAATACTTGGTGATTGATTATTCTGATAAAAAAACGAGTGTACTATTTAAACAATAATTGTTATTTAATATATAAACACTTGTACGCGATCTTTTCGGTTGATCTGATTTTGCCTAAAATACCTATATGTATCTTTTTACCATACCATAATAGCTCAAGGGTGAACCGGTAACACGTTCATCAACGATAGTCTCGCTAACAAATTCCTTCTGCTAGGCTTGTTTAATGAGTTTAGGGAAATTCGTTATGTTACTTTTTTTCGAAATTTTTTAAAAGCCTCCCAGTTTTCCAAAATTCTGCTCCTCTCACTTGTTATGAAAGCCCAAAGTTGGTTGGAGCTCCAGTTAATTTTTCTTATTGTATTCGAAATTAACTGGAACGAGTCTCTGTACATTAACTAACCTAGGTGATACTTCAGAGGTCAACTACTTTTATTACCCACTTGTAGATTTTCTTTCTTCACACCACAGTATGTGTCTTCAGGCTAAATTAGTATGAATATGACTTGTGTGCTCCATTCATTACTCAGTTATTTAATCTTTAAGTACATATTGACAAATTAAGAATGGGAAGCTTTAGGTATGTTGTGTTTACTAATTCTGATACAGATGCACCCAAATATGCATCTGGTCATATATCCAGCTTCCACATATTCCGATCATCTACAATTCTTAATATCTATATTTTAATGTGTTTCCTACTCACGTATTAAAACCGCCCATTGCAACCAATATAGTTGTTCGTCTAACCTTTTGTAAAAGGTTTTGCAGTATTTAATAAGGCCTATCTCCCACTGCTGCAAATGGTAATCTTGTGTCGTGGTCTTCGGTTCTGGAGAACAGCACACATGGAACTTTGTTTGAAATTTGGTTGACAGCTGTTTTCGATCCTTAGTTTCAATGCAGTTCGTATGAATGCTTGTTCACGTAAATTTATCATCAGCTACTCAAATATCTGTGGGACTAATTTTACTGATTCATCATATTGGTTGATTGAATTAACGTGATCAAACACTTAGAGTAGTGGCTACATTACAATTTGATCGATATAATTTGATAAGGACTTAATGGAGCAGACAAACATGACATTTTCACTACTCAGTGGTTGATTAGTTGTAAACACCCCAAATCTTTTATTCATTTATTTAAACACATAAACATTGGTACAAGGAGCCACCAAATAAATATACGCCACAAATCATTCAATTTGTGTGAGTGCTGAGTTACTACCCGGGTACCTAGACTAAAGCAGGTGTTTTTCTCAGGAGACCACATCTGGAGCCTTCGACCTAAAGGTCTGATCCACAAGGCAGTGCAACAACGTCAGGAGATGCAGTTCAATGGTATCCAGTGACCAACAATAGGTTCATACGCCATTTATTCCTTCGGGATACTGGAGTTCGTGAGCACCATTGGTTTGAAATCAGGGTTTTCCAATTCTCCTAGGTGGACTCTCTGTGTCTACCAACCCGGTTAAAGTACCGGACATTCGCTTTTCGTCCTCTCAATTTCGTGAACAACAGTAAATCCGCGAGAAGGCAGTGAGTAGGACTTCCTTGGCAGTGTTTGTATGTACATGGCCATGTAAGAGCATTTTGAGAGCGAGGGATGACTCTTTCTACTCTCGGCCGTACCAGGACATTTAGGGGCTTACCAGGTCAGTCGCTGCTCGGCGACGTCTCACTATGAAACTAGGTGACGCGGTTTCGAATCCTACTGGATCCGTCATAGTCACATGCGATGTGAAACAGTGCGTCTGTTCAAACTGCTACATCATATTAGCTCAAAAAAATAAAATAATCAAGACAAATCATAGATCGGTAAAAGAAGTAGCAGAAAATATTGGGCACATAGAGGAATACAAAAGATGTGTGGTGATTTCAGGGTTTAAGAACTTAGGGAAGATAAAGGGTTAATGCACCTGTGTCATTGCGAACAATTCTGAACCATATCCAAAGTTCAACCAATGGTTACGATAGTCGTACGAATCCCAACCAGGTAATCTGCACCTATCTACATGGCTCGTTGTAATAGTCAATGACTTAGTGGGCTGATGCTACGTTTTGTTTAGCCTTCCCTATAGTCCGTCCAATCTATTACACTATGCATCTTCATGCGTCGAGGTAGGTGGTATTTGGGCATACGTAATACACATCTCAACCACCTCAGTTGATAATGATTAATTGTCTCACTAACCGACTTGTCGTCTTTACCTAGTAACGTATACCAAACTTCACCATTGTTCACTTATTGGTCCCAACATACACAATGCAAAAATGGGTCTATATTATAGAAGTAGATCGATATAAAGAGATTAATTGTGAAAGAACTTTAAAGAATCATTAAATTACAGTTGGTTATTTGTTGGTAAAATAATATGAATATGCTAGTATAGAGAACTGGTAGACATGGTTAGACGTAATATACACACCTAGAATCTGCCCACGTTTTTTTTCAACTGTCTAAATAAACGATCTGTTTTCTTTTTGCTTTCTACTTTATCAAGGTATGAAGTTGATTTGCTCAAAGATAAATTGGAAGATCTTACAGATGCTTATGCTTCTTTGAACAAAATCTTCTTAGAAAACAAACGGGTTTGTTATCACTGGCATACTTTGATGAACATTTTTTTATATTAATATCGGCGGATTTGTGTAGATCTTAGAATTTTAATAGTTCAAATCACGAACTACTTTTAGTTAAACCACCTTAACCTGGATGGCCGTTTCGTCCTAGTCTGGGACTACTCGGCAGTGCGTACCCACGACCTTGTGTCCGCGCATACTCTTAACCCTTAGACTACTGAGCCAGGACTCAATGATATGGAAGTCTAACTTCAGTCAATTCACGATATTTCACAACCCTCATCTATTGTCTAGTTAATGAATAAGTTCAAGATGAAATTCCTAGAGTTCTAGTAAGAGGCCGTGACTAGTGAAGTTCAACAATGTCGGGTGTGGAACAGTTATCCACCTCATGCAACGAATGAAAGTTGCACAATACATTTTTCCTAATCGTTCAATAAAAACTTATTTTTTCTTGATGTAACAAAATAACGTGATTAGTATAATACTTGGTAAATTTTTGATTGTTACATCTGAAGATTCAATTCTAACTTTACTTATTTCAGTACAAGTAGATGAGCAACATTGTCAACTGTTGAATAATATTGTGAATTCTTGTTCACAATATGTTATTCATGGTGTACTGCGTTCTGTCTCGATTGTTTCTTCTTTATTAACGATTATCACCAAGCCTCATCTGCAACTTCGCGCAAATGATTTCAACCGACAGATTTTTCTAGCTCTCACAAGAGTTACTTTATGCTTGAATTTTTATTCTGTGGATATATAAAAAGCGGATTTAAAACAAATATGTATGTCTTTACGAAAAGATTACGTCAAATACCTGGAAGCTTTGAATTCATTTAACTGTTTAATCAGTTATTATACACATCAACATCAAAGGAAACATGTGTGTTATGTTACTGAATTACACATTCTTGGTTCACGCGATTACATCATTCTCAACTCTAAGTAGGGATGTTGAAGCAGTAGCTTTTATTCTATGTATTGGGAATACTCTCAACCGGTTATGTGAAATTTTTTTTGTACAAAATTAGAGAAGTGTAGATTGGAGCTGGCAACATCAAGAAATTCAGGGACCAAAGTTTGTTGTTGCATGAAAACGTTTAATGGATCCGCAGGTTCTGTCTGACCATCTTGTTTGTAATATTCAGTGAAACCGTCTGTAGGGGAATAAACTGTAAAATCAATAGACGTTTGAAGTAGAACATGTGCCATCATCCGTGTAGCATTTTCTGATGTAGAAACAGGTTCAATGAAAGGGAGAAATAGAAAAATCGGATTAGCCGTAATATCAGGCGAACACATCTGACCGTTGGTATCAGCGATCCATAGTGCACCGCCTTCAGGAGTTGAAACGCGATTATAACTTTGAACCCAAGCTTTAGCTGGAGAGATCTCGGGTCCTAACAAACCGGATTTAAATAGATCAAATGGCAAGTATCGATGAGAGTTGTTGGAGTATATAGGTGTTCTGTGGAACAAGCGTGGATGATTTTCAAATCGCCAAGATTTATGATATGTTTGGCCCGAAGACAGTGTTTGAACATTATTGCATGCTAAGAGGCCAGGATCTTAGGCTGTTTGCCAAAAGTATTTTGATTTGAGTTTTAAATCCTGTTTAATCATCATGTCTTTCGTAATGGCGACGTTGTCGGTTTGTATTTGTGTAATGGAACCCGATGTGTCCTCTGCAATGTACATATACGGAGCAACGTTGAACGATGTAACGTCGACCGACGTAGTCCCTTGCAAACTTTTTTGAAGAGGTATGAAGTGAGAAATACGAAGATAAGCAGAATGAAAATGACATATTGGGAAAGCTGATGCAAGCGATTTAAAAGGTTCTTGGAAGCCTATTCCAGCTGAATTAATGCTCTAAAAATCGAATAAGGTATATGGTAAACAGGTAATTGAGAATTCGGCACTGTCGTCGTCTGGTTTAAATTGGTTAATGGCAAGATGATTTTTTCGAACAATGCGGATCCGTGATTTGTAATAACGTGGTTTAATTAGTCTGCAAAGGGGTAATACCTCTCTATGTGCTTCTGTCGTAGCAGATTCTTCTTCATTGGAATCCGCCTCCATCCGAGTACGTTTTCCTGATGAAGCCATGTAAATGACGAGAGCAGAATTAAAATGGTGGTTCTGGAATGGTGGTCCCCACTTCTTGTATGAAGTGGTAAGTGAGGCATCGTTTATATATAGCGTACTTGTCTACAGCATTTATATCCATACCCAAGTTATTATTGGTGGATATTAAAACCGGTATGCGTGGTAACGTTTCATCTGGTTGGTGCTTAATGTGAATGTTAAAAGTCGAACCTCCTAATAGTTTTTTATAGTCATTTACTGTCACGGGAGTAATTCTTGGTTCTTCCGTGAGTGCAACGGATTTATTACTTAGGTTCTGTAAAAAGAATTGCGAGTGATCTCCGCTGCGTTGAACCTGGCCAAAGTTGTAATTGTCGGCAGTGAGTCGGAGCATCATTGTTTTGCCTGTTGTTGATGGCCCCTCAATACAAAGTGTGTTAATGCGTTTCTTTTTCTTATCCATGATACATACAACATCATCTATAAATCTTCCAGGGTCGATTGAGTTTATTTTTAAAAAAGCATCGAACCATAGATTGCTTTCGTCAAAGGAATTTGGATGGTGGCAATATCTGTCGTGATGGTTTTCGGAGATCCATTCCAGAAATGGAGCTGACATTTGTTTTTTCATCTTAGTTTCGTTATAAATTTCGATACATAGTAGAGCAGTTTCTTCCCATTGTTTGCTGTATTCGTCGTATAGATTCGCTCTGGTCTCAGCGGATAATTTATGCTTAAATTGTCGCATTTGTGTAACATTATGTAGTGTAACCAAATCCATCAAATGTGTTCTCCTTTGTATTCGATTATTATTCGATGGTCGTGAATCTCTACGAGATTCTCTCATAAATAGTGAACAGTCCTTTTCATTAGGTGTAACGAGCTGAAGCTGATCATAATAATTTTTAAGCTTAGTACCAATTAATTCAGACGTGTAATTTGTTTTTCGGACTAGACATGCCATGAATGCGTGCCAGTTTCGCACAGCTTGTAAATTTGCTCCAACGTCGCAAGTTATACCACCGGCATTTAATATATTACGTATAGTGCGGAATCGATTATGAACAGATGATAGGAAAACAAAGTGATAGTGATCAATATGGTTTATTATGATTGTATTAATACGATTGCCCTTAACAAATTTTGGTGGAGGACCTCTGTAGACAATGGTCCACAATTGTTCTTCGTGTTCTGGTTCAGTATCAGTCATTTCTTTTAATTTTTTTATAAAGTCGTCAAATTCATCTGATTGAGGTTGATGGTTTTCTTGGTGTGAAGTGCTGGCAATAGGCATAGGTGATGTTGGAGCGGTTTTTATGAGAGAACGAAAAGCGAATGTCCGGCGCTTTAACCGGATTCCAAACCAATTGTGCACATGGGTTCCAGTATCCTGCGGGAACAAATGGTGTATGAACCAATTGTAGGTCACCGGCTTCCATGGAATGCATCTCACAATGCTCCACTGCCTTGTGGATCAGACTCTCAGGTCGAAGGCTCGGGGTGTGGCTCCCTAAGAAAACCACCTGCTTCGGTTTGGGCACCCGGGCAGTATCACAGCCCTCACACATATCGAATGAGGTTTGTGTGGCGCATATGTATTTTGTGCCTCTTTGTACCAATATCTATGTGTTGAAATAAATAAATAAAATGTGAAATTAAAGTGACCAATTTAACACTTACTTAAAACGGCTTGGCACTGTGTCAATGTGTTTAGTACCAAACAAATGAAACTAATAAAACACCTGAGTGAGAATAGTTGTACTAAAAGTGATTAGCCAAATATGTATTATTTCTGCATAAAGTTAATATTTATCCGAGTCATTTAAAGCATTATAATCTTTCTGACTTATTGGATTGTTAGAAATCACGACAGATAGACATATTACATATGACTTTGAGGCCGTGTATGTTGATGGCTTTAACCTTATACTGTTCTGTTTGTAGATATTATCATCCTACCTATTTAAACCTTTTTTTCGCTTCAAACCCATTCTTTTTTGATACCACATAGTTGTAAATAGTTAGTCGAAGGCTCTGAATTTAGGTTTCATGTTTGTTCTTAAAGTGTACCTGTTTTGATTCTCTGCACCGTCATCAAACCTGAATGATTCAGTTTTATATTCAAAGGCGTTAACACTAAATTACATAAATTACAACTGACCTGTTATACTAAATGCTTATATTAGCCGATCACTTAGTGATAACTAACATCATGTTTGTGTAGTCCTAGGAGTATTGATCAGTCCTTGCATTGATCTAATCACTTTAACGGGCTATCAGTATTCACCTATTCCTATTATTCATAGTTTTGTATGATTCCACTATTTATCTATTCGATTTTCTCTCTGTCGTTCACACCCATACATATTTCTAATTCTTAGGAATTGGCGTATCAAAAAATGCAAATTGTTGAATTAACACATCGTTTGGATTATGCACGTCATCAAATAGAGGCACGTGATCAACTAATTGTTGAACATGGTTTAGTATTAATTGGTGGCACAAATGTAGATGACAATCCGACGTCTAACATGGAGGAGTTAACAGCAACTAATGCACATATGTCATCTACGAATAAGGGAAAATTCACGAGTAATGATAGTAATTTAGTAATGATGAATGGTTTATCCAATAATAATAATCATTCAAAACCAAATTCATCGATACATCAAAATGGTGATAAATCATCAAATCATTTACCCGAAATGGTTCTTATCACAAAATCGACAGCTGAACTCTTAAATACTTTATCTGAAACAACATTAGGTTAGTTGAATGTATGCTCGCATATATGCATGTATTTTAATGTATTATATTGGTTTTGTAAAAGTGACCTATCAGTCATAATCAATAAAGAGACTGAAACAGATGTGGGTTAATTATTTATTTGAACACATACATATTGGTACAACAGTGCGCCAAATATATATGCGCCACACAAAACAGTGGGAATTTAGAGAGAAGGAAAAAGAAAAAAGGTAAAGAGCATAAAAAAAAGAAAAGAGAACAATAACGAAAAGATTGGTGTAAGGTAGTGTAATAATAATAATAGAAATAATGGGGGAACGAAAAGGTACAATCAGAAGAAATCTTTCAGTTAAGGAAGATACAACCACTTTTTATGAAGAAAGTAAAAGAAGGTTACAGCAGGATCGCCACTGGCTTCTATTCTGAGCCATATCTGATAACGTCTCTAGCCACTGTGTAGCACCATCTCTCGGACCGCAGCAAGGGAATCGTGAAGAACCAAGACAAGCCAGCCCTTTGCAGTTTTCTTTCATACTACGACACCATGTCATACACTGACCACCTCTTTGCTTCTTCAAACCAGTCCCAGAGTCGGCAAATAATGCATGACGTGGAATTCTCTTGGACAACATTCGTAGAACATGTCCAAGCCACCGAAGTCGGTGTTTCAAGATGGTGACATCGACTGCATTATCGTCTCTGTGCCCGAACACACGATGCCGAACCTCTGCATTACTGGCATGGTGTTGCCACTAGATGTCAGCAATCCTTCGGAGACAGCGATGATCGAACACAGAGAGTCGTCTAACGTCCTCAACTCGGAGAGGCCAGGTTTCACAAACATAAAGCAAAACTGCTCTCACCGACGCGTTATAGATCCGACCTTTTACAGCCAGATTAACATCACGAAGGCGCCAAATATGGTCCAGATTGGCATAAGCAGCTCTGGCTTTCACTATACGTGCATTGATCTCATCAATCACACCCCCACCAGCACTTATGCAGCTACCCAGATACACGAACTTCTCGACTACTATCTGTTCACCATCCAGAGTGAGTACAGGATTAGTATCCTGCCAGGCTTGTAGAAGTACTTTGCACTTCGAAGGTGCAAAACACATACCATACCTACGGACACTGATTGCCAACTAATTAAGTGCGAATTGCATGCCTTGGGCATTATCGCACAGTAAGACAATATCATCCGCATACTCAAGGTCGAGAAGTCTTTCTCCAGGCAACAGATCCACACCGCCATTATTTACAACCATCAGAGCTGTTTACAGAATGTCATCAATGGCAAAGTTGAAGAGGAATGGTGGGATTGGGCAACCCTGTCTAACCCCACTGCTCGAATAGAACAATGGAGAAAGGTGGTTGTATACCCTCACTCTGCCTGAGGTGTTTGTATATAGGGCTTTTCGGACGTTAATAAACTTCTCAGGCTTACCCTTATTCAATAGACAATCCCAGAGAACAGTCATCCAACGAATCGAAGGCAGCCCTGATGTCAAGAAACACTACGATTGTTGGCCTTTGATAAGTATGACGGTGTTCTAACATTTGGCGGAGGGTGAAGATATGATCAATACATTTTCAACCAGAACGAAAACCAGCCTGCTCCTCGCGAGTCAATCTTTATCGGGTTTTGAACAACCTACGAAGTATGACGGAAGCCAATAGCTTGGACGCAATCGGAAGCAGACTCATCCCCCGATAGTTGTTACAGGAACGACGAACCCTTTTTAAAGATAGGGACAACTATCGGCTCATTCCATGACGTTGGTACACTCTCTAGTTCCCAAACCTTTGTAAACAACGTCAATTCCTTAGTCAGAAAGTCACCACCATCTTTAAAACGATCCGGAGGTAAGTCATCTGGGCCAGGTGATTTGTAACGCTTCAAGAGTTGGAGTTCCTTGCGGACTTCCTCCTCATTTGGTGGATCAGTCGTCACCGGCCATGGAGAGCAGGACAGTCTGACCGATGTTGCCGAAGCAGCAGGCCAGTTGAACTGCCCTTCGAAGAATTCTGCCCATCGTCCAAGACGTCGATGAATGTTAGTGATTGGTATCCCGTCATCCTCACAGATTGTTTCGCTCACACTAGACTTCTTGCTGCCAGTGGCTCGAATGAGTTGGAAGAGCTTCCGGTAGTTACCAGATGCAGCTGCTACTTCAAGCTCATTAGCACGCTCCGACCACTAGGCTTCTTGGTCCTTACGCAAGCTTTATTCAATTTCACTACGTAACAACCTTCGTTTGTGGTCAAACTCACGGTCACCCGAAGTAGACCGACGGGCTTCAATGAGTTGTAAGGAACCAGAAGAAACCGAGTGCTTATAAGCGGGACGTTTCGCGAACCCACAACTGACTGTATCCGCCATTTTCATGGCGTCATGCGATTGCAACCAATGCTCAGCTATACTAGCAACAGAAGTTGCAACCAGCTTGCTAATATCAATCCGTTGATGGTGGTCACTTCGTTGTCCACTGAAAAGTAAGGTAAGATTGGCGCAGACCAAGGCATGGTCAGAGTCCAGATAGGTACTCCAAAAGGAGCGGCATTCTTGTACACAACCACGCCAGCGGTAGCTGATTACGATGTGATCAATCTGAGTCCAGTCTTGAGATCCAGAAGGAGGACGCCAGGTGGCACATCGGCGATGACTGTGCCGAAAGTCAGTGCTGGCCATAAACAGGTTGTGGTCTGTGCACAGTTGCATTAGACGGTCCCCGTTATCTGTCCTGCGACCAACGAGTCCCCATCGGCCACATAAACGACTATCTTCTGTGCCTAGACGCCCGACCTGAGCATTCAAGCCTCCGGCTAGTACTACAATATCTCTCGAAAGCACTTTCTGGAGAACAGATAACTGGTGGTAAAATTAATCTTTGATTGCATCCGGGCTGCAATCTGTCGGGGCATAGGCGGAGATGACGAAAAGAAATCGTTTTCACGCCGATTTCTTCTCACTTTGATGGAAGTCTCTAATCTCACAGCACATAACCGACTGTTAATGGGTATCAAATTCCATAACACCAAGTAGGATCGAAATCCTGCTGCGAGCGCAATACTAATGGATCACTGAATCAGAATCCAATAATTCATTTTTTGCACCTCAGTCAACTTGTGATATTACGGAATCTTCGTAATTTGCTGTCGGTGAGTTATTGTTTCAGTACCTATTCGTTTGGCCCTACAAGTTACAGCTTCTTACCAGAACTTTGGGAAAATCTATGCTTAGTGTTAGATTCCGGTTCAATTATCTAAAACTATGTTCAGCTCTATTTATTATATATTTATTTAAACACAAACTTTGGTACAAAGCCGCACCAAAATATATGTGCGCCACACTTCATTCGATTTGTATGGGGGATGGAATTCTGAGCAGGCGCCCAAGCTGACGCATATGGTTTTCTTTGGGGATCACTCTCAGAGCCTTTGACTCGGAGATCTAATCCACAAGGCAGTGCAGCAACGTTAGGAGATGCTGCCAAATGGTAGCCGGTGACCAGCAATAGGCCATACGCCATTTGTTCCTTCGAGATCCAGGGGCCCATATGCATCATTCGTTTGGAATCAGGGTTTCGCAACTCCCCTGGGTGGGTCCTCCATATCCAACAACCCGGTTAAAGCTTCGAACATTCGCTTTTCGCTCTCTCAATTTTATAAGCAACACTCCCGTTGCAGAAAGGTAGTGACTAGGACTTCCCTGTCGGTGGCTACATAAGTGTAACTATGCGATAGCACGTTGTGAGGGAGAGAGAACTCTCCTTACCCTCGACCGTACCAGAGCATTTAGGAGCCTGAAGGTGTTAGATTTTGTCCCGTACCACCTCCAAGATGCGAATCAATGAGGATTCCTAAACTAAGACGAAACGACTGCTCAATGTTCACTAGTTTTTCATGAATTTTCAGCTGATATCAGTTCGTCATGAAAGACACTTAAATTGTTTATCTGATCCTCGTGCCATACTTTTGTGGGAGAGTGTTGGCGATAGTACCCCGACTGCTGAAACCACATAAGATAGGGTGCAGAGTTTAGGTCCATGACTTATTAGTTGAAGATGTAAATGATTTAACCACTAAAAGGACACTTTTTACATGATATATGTCACAGTTTGTTAATACACAATTTTTATTTCAAATTTTAAGTGGTTTAAGCTGTAGTCATAAACTATTTAGATGTCCATCTTTACGTATGTGTGTAAATTTTGTCCTGTGTACGTCTGTATTCATGTGTGTGTAGTTTGTCCATCATAGATGAAAAAAGCGTGTTTGAATTATCCAGTTCTATTTTTTATGCTTGATTGGAAACTATTTGTCTATATGCGCATAAATCTCTTGCATATTCTTTCTTTGTGTGGATCAAGTTTACCAACAATATGGTTAGTGGTGATTGGATGGAATTTCATTATTATCATCGTTGCTCCACAGATTGTGTAGGAGATTCTTTGCCTTATATCTCGTTTTCTTATTGTAAAAGATGGCTTACATGTTCAAGTACTTGTTCCGTGATATCCATCACCGCCAATTATAAGTCGATGATCTTTTGACAGATTTTTAATTATTATTATTGTTGTCTTTGTTTTTATTTCTGCCATTAAATGTTGAATAAACATGTCTTTATACATATTGTGTATGTACATATAATGAATAGCACGAATGATGACGACTATAGTTAATGAAATATCATGGAATTCCTCCTTATTGTTAGTGTTGTTATTTCTAGTTAACTAGCCAACTAACAAATGTGTATATTTGAATGGGTACACATGCACAGCCTTGTGCTTATTCACATATTTGCAGGCGTATATAGGCCACATTTTTTGTTGGACATTGAAGACAAATACTGTTTGATTGAACACAATTGATATCATAATCGATAGATCAAGATACATACGATTTTTTCTAATGTACTAAATATACATATACATATATGTAAAGAATGCAAATGTCGATGCAATTTTTTTCGTAGTCTATACCTGTCATTAGCTTGGCTACATTCAAGTAGGCGAGTAGGGAGAAAATAATTTACTTCATAATGAACGGTGCAATGGTTAACTCTTTAATATATATTAAATTCTGTGATTTACGAGTGACGTCTTTTATTATGATTAGCATTTTGTTTGTTGTATAGATAAATTTCATTTCGTATAAAAGTGTTTGTTTGAATCTTGAGAGTTAACTTTGACCAATTTTTGCATTCAAATTATTTTGATATAATTTTCACATTTGTCAAATATAAACAGAATGTTTTAAAATTTTCTACATATACAGTGTGTTCGACAAAAAAGTAAGGTCGTAAAGTAGTAAATGTTCAGCTCGTTAACTAATTAATTTACAGATCTGTGTTTTGTACAGATTTTGGTTTGGTGTAAACTTTGAATTTTCTGTAAGAATGTTAAAAGTGATTATTGTGACTGAGTAGTATTTCAAGCTTTTAATCTTTATCTGTTGAGTTGTAGGTCCGAATTCCTGTCTAACTAATCCAATCCATGACAGCAGATCAGTTTTTCGATATATCTTCTAGTATGATCACTGAGTAGTAGTGACCAATGTTATGTGTGTCTAGTCCTTTAGGTGCTGATCAAATTCTATTGATCAGGTTGCGATGTGGCCACTGGTCTAAGTGATTCGACATCGCATCCACAACGTTGAGATGCTAGGTGGCTGCAATTAGTTTACAGAATCGTTTCAGGCTGTGGAGCTGGATGATGCGAGTTCGAGCCCTACAGGGTGCATCGGTTCCATCAAGATTACAACTAGGTCCTGTTGACGAGTGCCAACCAGTACGAAACCTGGGTCAACCAGAGTGTCGTGTTGACTACCCCCGACCTCCTATGATTTCAACAGTGACTTTTATATTCATTGGCATATGTCTTATTACTAATTTTCATAATCATGGTCTTATTTATCATCCTTACACCATTAATGGTAACAGACATTTTTCTGGGCATATAAATTATACCAATCTCCACAAAAAGCCTCGATCGAAAAATAACAATGTTTTTTTTGTATAAGTTTAACACTAGATATTACTCACTTTTTCTTTCTTTTAATCATTTTTCTGCAGATAAGCAAATTAAACAGTTGTTTAGTATGCGATCCGAATTGGATGCACGAGTTGAAGAATTAGAATCTCAGTTAAGAGAAGAACGTAAACGCTTCGAAACTCCAACTACACGTTATGATTCAAAGAATCGTACAAATATAGCAAATACAGAAGATATTAAACATGAACTACAACGTAAGCTGATTAAATTTATTAGATTGTCTATTGAATCTGTTAAATATTGTTCTCTATTTTCTTATCCATGTGTAAGGGTATTGATCACAATACAACTTATTCAATCAATGGTTTCCTCAAGTTTTTTTAAGATTTTATCGAAGCCTACCAATCGGTTGATGCACTTTGAAATAACATAACTCTAGTAATAAGTGTTTCGAGTTGATCAGTCAGAGAACCTCTCAATATTGTAACCAAAGTGGAAGTTAGTTTTTTCAGTGGGTAGGCAATATTTAACGAGGGTAAGAATCAATGTTAATTAATTTCAAATATTTTTTGTCTATTTACTGCAACTTGTTTGCTAAATACAGGTTTTTATAGTCCGGTTTAAGAATCTTATCTATTGTATGGAGTGTAGCGATATAACGTGGTTACCCAAATAGAAGTGTTTAGGAGAACCACTAATTGGTTGGAACGCTTGGCTTTAAGATATTTAATCTTAGGTTGAAGTACCATTCTATCTCCTGTGAGTTGGATATCTGGGTAATATCGTTGTTTCTTTTCATTCCGTCTTCGCACAGTTTTTCCTCCATTACCATTGTTGCCACTACAATTATTTCGTGTCCTTTGGTATTCGTCTTGTTAACTTCATCTTGTGCTAGTATAATAAAGCTTTTTGGACCAACATACACATGTGTCAGTTTTTACGTTGATGATGCCTGACTGACTGTTTATCTCAATGATGATGTATCTGATGAGGTTTCTCAAGAACATCCATAAATTTTGTAAGTTCTCTTCCAATTCCTAGTAAATATATTTACTAGTCTCTTTCTTGATCTAAATAAATTTTCAACTATCTTTTTAACTTATATTCTGCGTCATTCATTATAGAAACACTTAATTCAATTCTACTGAATCATGTGTTTTTACTGATAATTTATTCTAAATATCATTTGGTTTAAAACAGTTTTTTCTTACATGCTTAATTGATCTATATAACGAAATTGGATATATAAACATTAATTTGGATCCCGATTCTAATAAATAATTTAAATGTAATATTTTCTAAGAAATCTTAATTTGATTTAAGTCGATGATGCAATTTTGGATCAGGTTTTTTTCAATAAGATATTCAATTATATTCTAATATACTATGCATATTATGTTACATCTTCGAAGTTTGAATTACTTCTTGTCGATGCGTAAATTGTATGTTACGTCCTATAATATAAAGGTGTGTAATACAGTCTAATATAAATGACTTTTATATGAAAGTTTAATTGCTTTATATCAGAGACATTGCTTTATGCACTGAATAAGTATACATATGTTAATGAATACTATAATTTCATTGAATACCCATTTACCGAGTACGGGTTCGTATACTTGTCTTTGAGTCACATTCTAACTACGAGGGATAGTAGTGCTGATCAGTTACTCAAACTGAAGCAGTTGACTAGGGTCCGAACCTGCTACTTGATAGCTAATAGTGGAAGTTTTAAACCACTAGGTCACCTCTCCACTATATGTACATATGTGGAAGTTAGGTGGTTGTAGATAGTCGTCCAGAAGTCATAAATTTAAGTTTTGTTCTAGTTTGTGCTTATAAAAAATCTTTGCAATGTTGAAGGAACATTTGATACTCTGTGTACGGTTCTAATATGAGTCGTTCAGTGGTACAGTCAGGTACATTGTCATTGTGGCTTACTTGTCCTAACCATCTCAGTCGCTCACGACTCGCTACATGGTACCCTACTTGTTAACCTCGAAATTGTTGACTTGATGGTTCGTAAATGTACAAGGAGTACTTGTATGATGGAATCCTAGTAAACTACGAACGTTCTTTACTTTTAGAGGCGACGTTTACACAACCATAAAGTAGAAATGGGCGAACTGGTGCTTAATATAACCGTCCTTTAGTTAGCAGATGGATATCTCATCTACTACGCGATTGACGCAAGTTGGCAAAGCCAACTAACCCACCAGAGATGATGAAACTTCTTTGATATGTGACGTAGTCAACACAATCAACTCTTCACTATCTATTACTAGTTCTGAGGTTGATACGAACCAGTCCTAAAGCAACATTTTGTATTTAGATGGAAAGGAACCCATCTCAAACACTAGTACTGTTGTTGCTTCAGACGTTCTGCATTTCTTCAGCGTCTTCAAATAGGAATGTGTAAGTCAACAAGTATAGAACGTTTCCCTCAGAATTGTAGTTATAAGTTTTGACTAGCATGATACCTTAGTTTGACCCTTCATCCCGATTGCTTCCAAATTTCTAACAATCAGTTTTGCACTACTTGATATGGTGACCAATACTCACCGTTAAACGGAACTAATTTCTACAGTAAACGATTTTCTGAACTGAATATTCACGCGATTTTATCCCTTTTCATTCGGCGTCCTGACATGAATTCATGAAAATGGTCATCCATTTCTAGAAACTAAGTCAATAAACAAGAGTCATTTCTTCAAAGAGAAAAAAACATCAACTAGTAGATTTCTAATCCTATGAATATAATCGTGTCAGCAGCAGTAAGAAATTATTAACAAGTTAATAAAAGTAGGCGATACACAAAAAATGTTTTTTTTTTTTACCTCGGTAAGAATACTACAGATTTTAAATCATGTCAAATATTTTTAAAAAAATAATCAGATCCAACAGTCTTATCCATGTTAAATTAAAAAGTGTACAACAAATTTACCTTAATAGATCAGACTAGTGATTCTTTTCTTCAAAAAGTCGAATAAATTCTTGCATACATATCGATTTGTTTATCGGTCTACGAAAGCACACCAATCATATATTGCAGGTTAATGAATTCTATCCAAATACTAATAAGTGGAATGTGTTAGACTAAAACTTTCGATCTGTCGATCGGGAGTAAAGTGTTGTCTAGATCAATGCATTAATACACCAACATAATCATTATATAGAAGAACAATAAGTTCAAGTATGTTTAGTTGAACAATGTATAACACAACTTCTGGTTATTAATATTGTAACTTGAAATTTTGCTGAAGTGGTTTCCCCAAAAATGTAAATATATTGAATCGTATTTCTCTATTCTTGTTTCCTAATCTGTTATTTTACCCATTTGTTTATCTAATTTCGTTTGACATTGTTTTTTTGTTTTCGAAATATTTGACTGATAATGATTTCTCACTGTGACGAAACTACGAATGTTATGACTTTTATTATACCGCAATAGTTCAGTCAAACAATGATGGAAATTCATTGTCTTCCTGTGTTTGTGTGTATGTTTGTACGCAAATAATTAATTTTCTATTTTGGGTAAAGTACTGTTTTATATGCCCCAGTATATGTGTATGCACATTGATAAAATACGCTAGTTTGTGTTCATATATATATAATTGTTGGTAATCAGTGCATTCTGTTTATCTAAAGAAAGAAATCTCATTGTTTGTGTATCACCATCATCGATACTTTCTAGTTTTTCATACAAAAAATAAAATGTTCTCTGCTATTTGTTCTCGCTTCAATTCATTTCTTTCTTATTGACCTAATTTAGATAGATGAGTGAATGGATAAATGGATAGATTACTTACGCCTGTTACACCTTGTGGAGGATCACAAGCCACTCACCAGCACTCTCCGTCAAGCTCTGTCCTGAGCAATCCTTTTAAGTTGTATGGAGTTGCTATTCATTCTCTTCATGTTTGCTTCCGATTCCCGACGAAATGTGTTCCATGGTCTTCTTTTCCTTTTCCCTTCAGGATTCCAAGTTAGGGCTTTTTCTGTGGTTCTGTTTGGTGATTTCCTCAATGTATGTCCTATCCACCTCCAACGTCTTTCCCTAATTTCCTCTTCAGTTGGAAGCTGGTTTGTTCTCTCCTACAGTAAGTTGTTGTTATCGATAGTATCCGGCCAATGGATGTTGAGTATCTTGCTTAGACAACTATATATAAGTATTTGTACTTTCTTGATGATGGATGTATTACTTTTCCAAGTTTCAGCTCCGTATAGTAGAACTGTCTTCACGTTCGTATTGAAGATTGTGACTTTGATATTGGTTGACGGTTGTTTTGAGTTCCATATGTTCTTCGACTGTAGAAATACTGTTCTTGCTTTTCTAATCAGTGCTTGCACATCTGCGTCAGATCCTCCTTGTTCGTCGATGGTGCTGTTCAGGTACACGAAAGACTCCACATCCTCCAGAGCTTCTTCATCAAGTGTGATTGGGTTGGTGTTCTCCGTTTTGTATTTGAGGATCTTGACTTTTCCTTTGTAGTATGTTAAGGCCCACTGATAAATGGATGGATAGATAGATAGATAGGTGTAAAAAGCGAATCCGTTAATTTTAATTAAAATAGTACTTTCTTCTAAAGTCGCTTGGTATTGCTTACTTGAATCTTCCCATTGATGTTTAGGACTGCAGTTGATCAGTTTCTTGTTGGCATATGTGCATCCTGTGCGTATTGCCGCGATACTACCTTAATTCACAAGTCCCAAATAGGACGAAATGCGCATCCTGGACTCCATTACTAACCACTATCCATCTTTGCTTAGTACTTTCTTCTGTTTTAATCTTGGTCATTATTATTTTTGCTTTTATTTTTATTTTTACTATTATTATCTTTCCAATATGAGTTTTTCAATAGCCTTCTATGTAATACTTAGTACTTTAATGGAATATCTATAAAATTACAACGAAATAACTTTATGAATCACAATTCCCTCGTAACCTCGTGACTGAATATAGAATAATTATGGTCACTATGACTTGCAATATCAATTTAGTGTAATTCAGTTGAGAAACTGAATCATATTTACATCAATAAGTAGATATATTAATATCTATGTGTATGTATGGTTGCATGTGTATGTTTGTATTTGTGTAAGTATTGATATGCATATTTGCACTTTCTTTTATATGAATGACTCTGTTGAAGGGTTTATTTAAAATTGAAGTTGCTATGTTGCGTGTGCGTGTGTGTGGGCATGTACATTTGTGCTTACTTGTCCTCTTTCTCTTTCTTCTGTATCCATTACAAATCAATATTTTCTTTATGTATATCAGAGTAATGATTTATATTCATCTATATGAGTTTTAACATTTTCTAGTTCTCATTATCAAAGTATCGAGTTTGAAAAAGAAAGAAACTAGAGAAAGCCTTAATGGCAAATTCGCCATTTAAAATATAATCATTATTAATATTCAGTGTTTTATTACTGATTCGTCTAATAAGCTTATAATTTTTTTTCAATCATCGCATGTTTTTCTAATCTTTATTAATACTGTAATGAACGAGAACTCAGGTGGGTAAAAGTAATTTATTATTTAATGCAAAATTACACAGTACTTTCGTAAAATATGGGAATCATATATTAAATACATCATTTACATATCTTCTTTGCACTGTCTTTTATCTACTCCATTATTCCTTTAATTCTGTTGTTATTTTGTTTGCTCATCTATTTCCTTCCTGTTCCCTTCAATAAAATCTACCAGATATTCCACTTCCAATCGCGGCTAACTACTACTTATATCTGTCAACATAAATAGCATACACCACAATACTATTGAGGTAGTTGACTTAATAATCCAAGTAAAATAATTCAATCTTATTAAATTAGAAATATTGTATTTTTCTTTGTTTATTGATACAATAGCATAGGTAAATTATTTTTGTACGTATTGATGACAATCCCTTCAATTTGACTACAAATCGACTACCTGTTGTTGAAACATTTTAGAGAGGAAGTAAAAACATTCATACATACATTTTGTTATAGCTTAAAATTTTTAAATCCTATAAATATGACCCAATAACGCACATTATTTGACATGTAGGACATATTACTGTACGGTTATGTACTCAGTACATTTAAATCACTGGGTGAAATTCTGTGTTATAAATTCAAACACGTATTATCCTTTTGATTGAGTCACATCATTTTAGCGAGTCCTCTAATGACACATTCACTTACATCCGATAACGCAATAACAGTGGTCGTGGAGTTCTATTTCTTATTGATCCATGTAGCTTCTATTCTCAGTGACCAATCAGTAGACAACGATTGCAATTAAAATAACATATTATGTTATCTTTCATTGTTATTCTGACTCTAAAGCTCACAGAATTATACACAGTAATTAAATGACCACAACTCCGCATCACAAAAAATCACAATGCTCACATAACTAAGTCATGTGTACTGAAAAAACTTAGCAATATATATATGGTTAATCAACAATAATTTAGGAATGGTGAAACATATAGTAACGTTCAATGAATGAAATAAAAGCTGAAGAATAACAACAATATAAAAATTACTTTAATACAAGTATTTAGTGATTACACAGTAAAAATATGTATGAATAATTCTTAGTAGAGTAGTTACATCTCTCTTATTTACCCCCCCCCTAATTAATTATTATTAATGGCTTTACTCAATATTATATTTTGGTACAATATAGAATTCTCAGCATAGTGTATTTCAACAAGTTTCTTACACAAAAAACAGAAACAAAGACAAAAAAGGGAAAAAAGGTAAAAAAAATCTGAAAAACTGTACAATTTTTCAAATTAGAGACATGTTAAGAATGCAGGTTATTAACTAGGTTAACTCTAACAACCTGTTCGTCACAGAGTATATTTGCTAGGTAAGGTATTATAGAAATTCTATACTTTTGCTTGCGTGCATGGAGTTTAATGTAATTACGTCTCGTTCTACCATAAGATATACAAGGAGTAAGATAAGAGTTAAGGGGATGGTTAGTATCTGATAAAATAACACCTACCAGTAGTTTGCATGACTTTAGATGTCTATCCACAGCCATATTAATTATGACCTTGAACGATTCACCACACACCTTGCTGACTGCCTTCAGCAGTTCTATATCTTCAACTTTAATAGGAATTCAGTGTGACGGTGGAGTTAATCATGTGGGAAACAAATTTTCCATTAAACAATGGACTTGAATAAATATTTATGTTTTATATATAGATCAATAAATCGTAAATGATGTAGAACCTGGGACATATATATTTGCTACTTTATATCAAAACATTACATAATCAAATTATCAATTATAAATACCAGAGTAGTAATAGTGTAAGTTGTTGGAACGGCTCCCGGAAGACGCAACGAAGCCTCCAGCTGCTCTAAAGGAGACGAAGAAATTCCGTTCAGTCATATCCTGATAGAATTTTCCAGAGTATCGACGTGACATTCTGTGATGGGATAGTTGTATAAATTCTCTGCTTGCAATTAGGCTGAATCATAATGATGTTACAATCTGTCCCAAAAACTGTAAATACACCTGTTTTCCTATACATTTTGACACTTCAATAAACGCTTTCTTCTGCCAAATTAATGTTCCATAGGGGATAACGCCAAGTGCAAAAACATCGTTTAAAATACAGTTAACATCGCACATTAGTCACTTCAACATTAAAATTTTTATCTACATTTACTCGGATTACATATCACATAATTTTAATTGATCTGTAGGGAGATTCATGCTAATCTTAGCAATTTCAATTTTATTTTCGTACTAACAATCCTAAATCTCAGAAATTGTAATTTTAAACAGAATATTTCTCTTTAATCTTGGCGTTACCCTTTTTTAAATATGAATTTGAATATATAACAGTGGAACCTGCTGAGAATTCATTGAAAAAAGTACCCTTCATTTATACCTTTTAGTAAATTTAATCCATATGATGATTATTTTATTATTTTCTTTCTAATTATCGTCCTTTCTTTTTTATCTTGTTTTTTTTTCTGGAAAAAACTTATTTTTCAATAGAAAGTCGTAATCAAGCTCAAGAATATAAACTGAAATTTCATGAATCATCTCAAAAGATATCAGCTCTTGAAAGCGATGTAAGTTTCATTATTCACAGACTTTTATTACGTCCATCTTTAAATTGTTAATTAAATAGAACAATTTATTTATGTTGACTGATAAATGATTCACAACTGTTTTGGTTTTCATTTTGTAGTTTTAAATTGTTTTTTTTTATTGAATGAGTTAATTATCAATTTAATGTTTCAAATTGTAAGCGATGTCTATCATATTCTGGGTCTTAAGTTTAGATTCATTTTCTGTCTATTTCGGTCTCAAATACCAGTTAGTATCATTAATTGTCACACTCTTTAAAGTTTTATTTGAGACTATATTTCCAACTATTTGATCATAAGTGCACGGAGCTTCAAAAATTCTCTGTTGTTGTCTCTAAAAACTATGAAAAGGCTAAAAACATTTCATCCAATCAGCATTGAGTAGAAAGATCCCAGAAACGTTTAGAAAAATTAAGGATTCTGTTGCAACTTGATTTGATAATTACTTTGTTATTAAATTTTGTGTCTCCGAAAGCCCCTAGAACGTCAGGGCCATCCTTAATCCTATAAATATTCTCTTTTTCTGTACATAAGTGATCTTTGAAACAAAACTTCCATTCTTACTTCGTGCCGTTTTTCTACTACTCGCGGTCCAAGTGAAGGAATTATACGGGAAATCTAGAAAGTCAGTATTAAGTGTTCGCGTTGTAGACATATTATTTTTTATTGTTTTATTATTTTAACATATAGATATTGGTACGAGGAGGCACCAAATACATATGCGCCACATAAATCTCATTCGATATGTGTGGGGGTTGTGATACTGCCCGGGTGCCCAAACCGAAGCAGATGGTTTTCTTAGGGGGCCCACTCCCCGAGCCTTCGACCTGTAGGTCTGATCCACAAGGCAGTGGAGCATCGTAAGGAGATGTAGTCCCATGGAAGCCGGTGACCAACAATTGGTTCATACACCATTTGTTCCCGCAGGATACTGGAGCCCATGTGCACTACTGATTTGGTTTGGATTCCGGTTAAAGCGCCGGACATTCGCTTTTCGTCCTTCCATTTTTGTAAACAACACCCCCGTCACGAGAAGGCAGTGAGTAGGACTTCCCTGGCAGAGGCTATATACGCGTGGCCATGTGAGAACATTTCGAGAGGAAGAGCGGACTCTCCCCACTCTCGACCGTACCAGGGCATTTGGGGGCAGACATATAAAGAGATTCGATGGATAACAAATGAATAGCGAGAACAATTTCCCAGATATCACGAAAGGTTAGTGGGGAAATATGATTTGGATAGGGGTTTTCACGAACTTCCTTACACATCAGCACTGCGATTTGTAATTTTAGGCCTTCCTAGCAAATGCGAATATATGGCTATTCCACTGTACTGATTGCTATTTTCAATATATATATATAGTGGTGTGTAACTCTGACACCAAAAATTTATATGATATTTTCTGTTCGGCTTCGCGTTCTCATTGAAACCATGAATCGATCAATATTAGATCACCACTCAAAGCCTGAAAAAACTAAACGGCTGTTTTGTTCCAGTATGGGACTGTTCAGCTGTAAGCAACCACGACCTCACACGCGAGAATAGAACCGATGACCTTCGGTTTCGCTCACGAACGCTCAACTTTAGACTACTAAGCTGACATGTGTCACTTCAATCATTTTATAAATATCTGTTGGTATGCATTTGTGTTGATGTCTTTTTCCCATTGATACTTAAGCCCCTAGCATCTATGACTTTAGTATTTACAGTGTTATTGTGTTTTATTGTGTACATTGTTGCTATTTTCTTGTTTAACATTTATTACTACTCTTCATTATTACTTAACCTTTTATGTAGAGTGTCTAGTCTCTGTCAGTGCATACAACCATTTTTGTAGATAATAATGTTAACGTTAAAATTGATGCATGATAAGTTTGTAGCAGAAACATCGCGTTGATCTATCATAAACAGTGTACAACTTGCTACAAACGCATGCACATCGTCACACTTTATGTCATCAGGTCAGCGCTTAAAGATACTAACAAGATTCATAACTAAAGAAATTAAAGTAGTGTTAGTGTTTGTATTATTAAAAAAATATCTTGAATATAAAACGTATGACCTCAGAATAAAAGAATAAAACATGAACATTGGAAAATATGAAATTATTATCGAATCTCATTACCTAACATGAGCACATCTGTGTCACTGAAACATTTTTAGTCATATTGTTTAACGTCTTCACTTATGAATCATAATTTTCACCCATACTCCATCAAAGATATTGACACCTTCCTACGCATATTATCTCCCGCTTAGTTATGACACCATATTTAACCTGGCGCCCCCTATTTTTGTATTTGGATTTCAGCCAGTAAAGATATACAACAAATATCTTCCAATTCCTGTGTTTTCAATTAATCTGTCCAATATTTACTAGTTGTTACTTTGTGTCTATGATGTGTGCTTTACATCCATCAGAATATCTGCTTAAACAACTTTCGAAAGCAAAAATGCACCATGACTTTCACGAATGAAATATTGTTTCACCGGTCACGTGTTTCTTACCGTATATGTGTGTTTGTATGTGTTGTGTTGGTACGTAGTCATATATATACTTCAGTTGTGCACAACCAACTTGTTTACTATTATTATTTTTTTGAACATAAGGTTTTTACCTACAGTTCATTAGAATAGATATTGATTAAGTATGTATGTATACATGGTAAACACATCTTTTCGATATGTTGTTTTGACTTTATTGTGAAACGTGTACATTCAATCTGTTTATCAATACATTAATTTGCCATGCGGTTGCACTCCAATATTAGTAATAATAATACTAATAATGTATTGTTTTGTTTCCATTTTGAACTGTTTTTAATTACAACAGTACCTACAATCAATTCAGTAAAAAGTATTATGGATTTAAAAGGCTAGGATGATGTGCATTGATATATATATATATATATATATATATATATATATATATATATATATATATATATATATATATATATATATATATATGCAAATTAGTTACATATCTAGTCATTTATAATGTAAATATTCTATGCTAGAAATCTTTCCTTCGCTTTTGATTATATATTTCTATACCTTCAAGCGTAGATGTGTGTGTCTATGTTTGCATTTGTATTAAATATTACCTAGTCATAGTGACTAACAAACAACCTGTTTTGTTTTTGGTCGTCAACTCTATTCGTTAGCATTTACAACAGTATTTTTGGTAGTAATTTGTCTTACTCGAAACAATTTCTTCTTACTAACTGATATTGAAAAAAAGTGTAATTAACAAATGGGAATCAAAGTATTATCAAACATTGGTTTGAGGAAAATTAATGTGATATTGATTCAAAATACTTAGTGGTAATATATTTATATTTGGTTATTGTATTCTTGTACATAGTTTTACATGATTCTTCATCATATATACTGTATTTTGATTATTGTCGACTAGTTGAAGTTATGTAATACTTTACAAGGTTAATGACTGAAATCAGTCCACGAGTAATTCTTAACGTTATGTTTTTTCTTATTGATTGAAATCTTGACAATACACAAGTAACTAAAGTAATTTTGTACCGAGACCATGGGTCGACTAGTGTTAGACCACCCTTGAAAACCTGGAAGCACTGGATAAATGTTTCGTCATAGTCTGGGACTCCTCAACAGTGCTCACCCACGGTTCTTAACACGAGACTCGATCCATGACCTCAATTTAAACTCAACGATCTCCACAACTCTATACTGATAAGTTTGCATTGTTTTGTAATTCAACATCAATAATACCTGTTTATGGCTTTGAGAATTACATTAGATAAATAATAAAAACCACTGGATTAAGCATTATTAGTGTAAACTTTTCATGCTTTCTATATTAACGCTTAACGTCATCATGAAGTATGTGAAATGTTTTTTTCCCGTAGGGCTATTTATTTCTATAAAGCATAAACTTTTATCACTATTGTTTATTTATTTACACTGTTCATAATAAATAATTGTTTCTGTTTTAAAACTTAAAACGATAATTAACCGAGTTAATATATATTCAGGGTTTATGAGTTAGTGGAATATACTATTTGTGTCATTGAAAACAAATATAGACAAATCAGTAAAGGAAATAATCTTTTCAACAATATTATCTATGTATGTAGTGGACGAGAACTTAGATGGGGATAACCAATTTTATTGTTTGATGAATAATCAGACTGTTGTTTAGCAAAATATGAAAATCATACAATAAATACATCATATGCATATCTTCTTTGCGTTGTCTTTTATTTACTTGATTATTCCTTTAATTCTGTTGTTATTTCGATTGCTCTTCTATTTTTCTTCTGTTACTTTTAATTAAACCTTCTACCAAGTATTCCACTTCTGATTGCAACTACATACAACTCATATCTGTCAAAATAAGTAGCATACACCACATGTATACTGATTAACTAGTAATACAAGTATACAGCTTTAATAATAAATTTTCCGTAAAATAAGGAACTTTTGCATCATTAACAAAAATGATCGAGATGGTTTTCAGTCGTCTAAAATGTTTATAATAGGCTAGAACGAAAACAGAATATAAATGGAATATAATTACTAAATTGAAGAATATTGAAAATCGGTAGACATAAAGTATAATACTGTATTAAGGATGACAACATTCAAGCTCATAATTTTTTCAATGAATAAGGTGAAGTAAGTCTCGAATAGTACTATTATTGCGAATACTTCTACTAAACCATCATATATTCTATTGTTCTCATCCAGTTAGTCATGCAACATAGGGCATGGTACATATGCGTATCAGTTCAAGCTGTTACTACATCAGAACAGAGAGCTGCTAGAGTAGTATAAGTAGTAATAACAGTACTACCGGTTGTAAAAATAATTAGGCATAGAAGATATTTTAAAAAAATATAGATTTACAGAATCCAAAAACGTTTTCTAAGAACTTTAAGAGAATTACTCCATTGTGACCGATTCTGTGTTATATTACTCAAAGTCTATAACCATTAGTTAGGATATCTTGTTAAAGAATTTGTATAATATGGTTCATGATAACTCGAATCCATCTACTCTTTGTTTTTCCTTAGATTCTAAGTTTTTTAATTCCTTGTAAATTTTTGTTTGATTATTTCGCTAATTCCCTCGAGTTGTATCTTGAATGCCTAATATTTTCTTGGACCTGTTAATCCTGTAACTACATCTCTGAAACTAACCTTTACATTCTTCTCTTAATTTAATGATATCATGTAAGAAATTGAAGCCCCGAAATGCCCTGGTACGGTTGACAGTGAGGAATCCCCGCTCTCTCTCTTCGAATATCCTCATATGGCCACTCGTATACATGACTGTCTTCTCGTGGCGGGGTTTTTGTTTAGGGTTGTCGGTTATAGAGGATCCACCTAGGGAAGTTAGAAAACCCTGATTCCATGGGCCCCTGGATCCTGGGGGGAAAATGGTGCATGACCTATTGCTGATCACCGGCTACCATGAGACTGCCTCTCTTAAAATTACTCCACTGCTTTGTGGATTAGAGTCAAAAACTCTGAGAGTGGTCCCTAAAGAAAACCATATGCATCGGTTTGGGCGCCTGGTTAGTATTCCAACCCTCACACAATTCGAATGATGAAGTGTGGCGCACGTATATTTCGTTGCCTCCTTGTACAAACTTCAACCTATGTAGGGATATGCCAGGTTCTACGTTGCATTTGATTGACTGACTAATCTATCTCGTAATCATTCTCTTTGATAATTTTCATTAACTAGACTGTTCTTGTGGTTACACTGAGATTTTTTTCTCAAATTGTCATTATGAATTTTATATAACAACCATCTAATGGAATGGATAATCTCATTTTATAGATTGTGCGTTTGGAAGGTCAAACTAAACGATATAAAGCCATAGCTGATGCTTGTGAAGAACAAGAAGAAATTTTAAAACAAGATCGAAGAAAATGTCAACGTGAAGTAAGTTTTTTTTGTGTGTGAGGTTTTCTTAGCTTAGTTTATTTCAGCCCAACTAAATTTTCATTATTATTAGCCCATGTTGAAGGTTTTTTTTACTTATTTTCTTGACATTTGATTTAGTTGATATTTTGTTTAATGATGAATCGATCATCGATACAAAGATTACTGATAATTAGCGCAATTTAAAAATTTGATAAAATCTGTGTCTATTTCAAACTGATAAAAACAAAATAAACAATAGCGATTTAGTTTAATCTGTAATTGTTTCGACTGCAGATACATTAGTTTGATATGTTCCAAACGGGACGAAACACATGTTCTAGATTCAACTGCTATCCACATTCCATTTATTTTATATAAACAATGATTTAAGTTGAAAAGTTTATCAAAATGTTTAACAGGTATATTTTATGGTAGAGTTTCCGAAAAGTATGTGTACGTTTTTTTTTAAGGCTCAAACAGGATGAACATTTTTGAACTGATGTTAGATAGCATGAGTTCAAATTAAGACTGACCAAATTTCAGTCCTGAATATCAAAATCAGGATAGTTCAAACTCTTACGAATAATGATATAAACGCTATACTCATTTTACAAATTTGTGGCTACCTGAAATGGGTAGCTTAGTGGATTACTCGTTGATACTTAAAAATGATAAATATTGGGTTCGGACCTCAGCATGAACACCAACAGTGATGCGATACATGTACATCCAAGTGAAGAGTCCCAAATAGGGCGAAACCTGCATCCTAGTCTTTACTACTAGCCGCAATCTATCTATTCCAGAAACCTTTTTTTTAAAATTAAACAATTATCTAGATGAATAATTGATTACGGTACTGTATGTGTTTGTTTTTCATGATTTCTTTGAAAATAGCAATATCTTTTAGTGTTTTCATTCCGAATTACTTTTTTTTCAGTATTATCTAACACTCAATAGAATCAATCATGAATTCACAAAAATTGCATATTCATCATCATATGCCTATTGTATTTACTATTAACCAGTATTTTAAATTATTGAATAGCATTATTATTTTGCATTAAATTATCACACCGCTTAAGACTCTATAATAATATTATTCTTTAGATTAACTCTACTGATGAAGTAAGTGTCTTACATAAATAATAGACAAATACTGTGTCTGTTATTGTGTTAATACTTTTCTGACATTATAGACTGTACAATTGCTTTTTTGCATATTTTTGTATTTTTTTAAAAAAATTTTTAGCTAAGAGAGGTTCAATCAAAATTGGAAGATCTTAAGGCAGAGAATGCTAGACTGCAACGGGTTGTGGATAAATATAATCGAGGTTCTACTGTTCCAGGTAGTTTGGCACCTGGTACTGGCAGTACTATACGTCAGGCTCATGATTCTTCTGTCAACAGATAGTTTATATATATATATATATATATATATATATATATATATATATATATATATATATATATATATATATATATATATATATATATAATGTGATATTTATCATCCAAATTGCTTTCCCTAAATTCTTATCTATTCGTTGATTTAACTGCTGTCAAATATATGAATGTATGTGTTTATCTTTAATCCAAAGATTTTATAGTTGAAATTTCACTTTCTATTCTATTCTCTTCTATGCCTTTTTTTCATATGGTTCACTTGAAATATCACTACAATTTATCCAGTAATTGTGTGTATATTTTATTCAGTAAACAATATCGCTATATATATATGTATATAGACCAGTTTATACATATATAATAATATACATTTGTTTTGTATAAATTGAATTCACATCAGAATTGAGGGGAAAAAATAATTGTTCTACTCAATTCTCTTCTAATTCAAATATGACAAATTGTCTTCACTAATAATAGTAATGATGAAAACAACAACAACAAAAATCTGCACAGCTTCAGAAAATTCCCTTTCAAAAAAGAACTCGATTATTCATATCATCAAAGTATATAATTCTATTGTTTCATCTAAGAAAAATAAAAGTAACTTATATAACATTCAATACATATAATACAAAATTAGGATTGTAAATGTTTACTATCGTATATTTATAAAACATGTTTCCAATACTCAGGAACATGTTAACAAATAGTTAATACTAATGAACTTTTGATAAATGTTTTCTCATTTCATCAAAACCTGGTGTAAAACCTTGTTATTCAGTGTTTTTCTTAGAGTTTATTTACCAATGTTAGTATATATATATATATAAAGGCCTATTCCCTTAAGTGCTTTTTTCCTTCATTTGTATATCTTTTCATGTATGGTATTTCATTGGTTGTTATTACTTGAATTCATTTTCAATATTTACAGCTGTATTTTGTTACTTATACTAGCTCTTTTCAAAGTTGGCCTTATACATACATTTATATATACAAGGATGTAAGGAATAAACTATTTGTTTAACACTTTCATACACATTTATAGTCTTCAGAAATCATGTAACTTACATTTTGAAACAACTCATTTTGTAAAAACACGCTAATATTCTTACAGTATGATGGGCCAGTCTCATTGATACTATCTAATTGCTGATTCTTTTTGTTCATAACAACTGGTATGCTAACATGAGCTCATTATATCGTTGATTTTATTTAAAGCTTTATTTTAATTCCAACAGAACTAATGTTAAAAACTACCTTGGCTTCTTTTGAATAATAACCGACGATACCTTGCTTCCTATCAATAAATATGTTTGAAGTGAATGGATTGAATTTGTGCAGTAAAATGTTGAGTGATGTTAATCCTAGGAGTAGCTGTTTTGTTTTCTAATAAGTAAATTGTGCATATTTTTAATGATGTGCTCGCAGTAGTGCACACTCAAAATCATTATTTTCTTTAATGCTGGTTAACAAACTATATTTTCTTTTAAGTGGTTAGGGGCGCTAGCAGTACTTTTATTAATATGGCATAATTGAAATGGGGAGAGTGAAAAATATAACACAAGTCAGTTGAATTAGTTAATTTGATATGTAGATTTATTTATTTGAACACAAATATTGGTACAAAGAGGCACCGAATACATATGCGCCACATAAGTCACTTCATTTGTGTGTGGGATGTGATACTGCACAGGTACTCAGACCGAGGTCGGTGGTTTTCTTAGAGGGCCACATCTGGAGCCTGAAGGTCTGATCCACAAGACAGTAACGTCAGGGGTTACAGCCACATGGAAGCTGGTGACCAATGATTGCACATTTGCACCACTAGTTTGGGATCAGGGTTTTCCAACTTCCCTAAGTGGATTCACCGACCCGGTCAAAGAGCAGGGCATTCGCTTTTCATTCTCTCAGTTTCTTGACCAACACCCTCGTCACGAAAAAGCAGTGAGTAAGGCTTCCCTGGTTCTGACTGTATGCGCGTGACCATGTGAGCATTCCAAGGAGGAGAGATAACTCCTTACGCTCGGAAGTACCATGGCATTTGGGGGCAAGGTAATTGTGCTCTATGACAACCGAAGATCTAGTGCCGCATCCCCTAGTACAAAGATGCTAATAGTAGGAGGCATATCTTTTCAACTTGTGCTGAACTCCCTTGAGCAGGGTGCTTTGGGTTATTTGAGCTGTTGTGTGACATTACAAAGACGTCACTTTGTCGCCTTAATTTTAAGAGGATCTAGTAATTCTTTTAGACTATGAATCGACGTCGCAGTTGGTTTCGGTGGTTTAGTCTAACCTCTATCCTAACATTGCTTTGCAAGACTTTTTATCTTTATGGAATGAAGAAAGGGACACTATGTTTCCAAACCATTGTTGAGCCCGAATAAAACTTTGAAATGAGGTGAGAAGTCTTTTTAGAATGGGAAGAAATTGCACTTCTAAGTTTTTAGTGTGAAATATTTAAGTGCATACGTTTTTGCTCTACGGAATGCAGAAACTAGGCTCCGTTTTGGCTGTAAACGTTCCTAGTAGCGGATCATTTAAGATAGGTGTAGTTTGCAACGTGCGATATGTAGACTAAGCGTTTTACACAGTTGAAGGTTAGTATATATTTTTCACCCAACTCCAAAGATCAGTCACATCCTCGTGATGTTACAGATTATCATTATTCCAGGTGTTAACTGTTCAAATCTCCACATAGGCGAATGATATTTCAGAGGGTAAATTAGCCGGAGCAGTTTATCCCTGTACAAAGCCTGTGAAACTACATAAAGACATTACATATCATGAAGAAATGAATGACTTGTAAGGTCAGTGAAATGTCAATGAACCTAAATCAAATTATCCGGCATTCTTGTCACTGAATATCGAGCAGCATATCGATCCTCGTCAAAGTCAAGGACAACCAGTGTCATGGAACTACAACAATGGTCACAAGTACATGTATTAGGTATTTCAGTACCAACGTCATTTGTATTGTGCGGTCATCAAGTTAGCCATAGTACGTGGATACAACGAAAGGGTAACCCACATTAACACAATCGTGAGGTTTGACTTCGACGTTAGCTGGCTAGTCACGCCATTCTAATCTAACTCGATTAGATCCCCTGAAGATCGGAAGGCTTAGTTCGACGTAACCCAACACTAAGAATATTAATTAAGCCAATCAGCCGATGGTGGTGGTTGAAAGGTTATCAATGACTTTATAAGGCGAGCATGATTAGACTGATCAAAACAGGTTATTGGTTAAGTTGTTCACCACTGTTGGTCAATTCATGATGCAGAAAAGATACCTCCTGAAGCTATGGTGCTGAAAATTTATATACAAGAGATAGCCATTTTGATTACTCTTGATTAAAGGTCTTCTAACTTTGGAGATTATAGGATGCTGAGTCACAGCTCTGTATATTACAAGAATGCTGTTCCGACCCCATTCGAAGTCCGGAGTGATGTATTTCAACTTCCATATGACCAGGATAATATTTATTTTTAAAGACATTTGGAAATGTTATGCAGACAAAGTTGTCAGAATCGGGCCCCCTTCTCCCATTATCGTTGAATAAAACATGTTCGGGCCACTAAAATCGTGACTGCTCAGATGTAATTTACAATAAACTAATCCGAAAAATAGATCCTCCACAGGGATTCTTCTTGTGCGTCATCAGAGGTATTAACCGATAGTAGTTTCAAACGATGATTGTGACGTAAAGGGCACGCTGATAATCCATCCACAGCATTTTATTGGACGGTATTGTCATTTATTTGTTTCTACCCTTGTCCTATAATTTAACATTCGTTCAGGTCTCTTTTAACTGCACTTTGGTTTTAAGTCTTCGTGTGGGATTTTATCATTTGACCATTGGTTAAAGACATACTTTTTGTTGCCTAATTTCACTGTTGCATTTTGCCGAACTGTTGATAGGGTCACAGCGTGGTCCGTTTATAACAATTAACCTTTCACTTTTTCATTGGAAATGTTGCTGGGACTGTTGCAGACAGATATCTGATCTCATCTTATTGAAAATATTTTTATAGATTCTCAGTTATCATACACACTCACTACAAGTAAACAACACTGAGTGAATTTTATCTTCACTTCATTGCACAAGGAATTGGCTATCAGGACTCCGTAGTTAAATGGATAACGCGATAGAGTGAATAGCCTAAGATACTGGATTTGAGTCTCACAGTGAACATCAACTTAGAGATTTAGGTACATCCGGTTGACGAATCCCAAATAGGGCGAAAAGTGCGTCCTGGATTCCACTGCTAGCCACTATCCATCTTTGCTTATACGTTTTGTTGTTTAGCACGTTAGTTTGTTCTAGCAAAACCTTTGACTAAATAGCACAGACTATGCCGTCTGAGGTATGTTTTGCTTTTATATATGTTTTCTTTCTTAAATTAGATGCGCGTAAATTGAACAAAGATTTTGTGTTTTAATGCATTTTAAAGCGAGCCACTTAAAAGATTTGGATGTTATACAGAAGAACGTAGTCTGACCTAATAGAAGAGACTTTGGACCGTTAGTTCTGAATTCTAAAGGAATATTGATATTTTGGTCGTTACATTGGTTCTGAAGTCTGGAAAAAGTGGTTTGTACGCAAAGTTGCAAAATCGTCATCTCCATTGCTGGGATTACGAAAATCGTACAGGTAGAATACACATGTGGCATGTCGAAAATATACTGTTTGACGAAATATGATTGTTTGTTTGGAAAAGATTGGTCCAGCCAGGTACCGTTTATTTACATCTCTATGGCCTTTGTGAGATTGTTCCAGGAGTAATTAAAACGCACATGTCATTGCCGGTAATATTCATAGTAATTATTCTCAATTCTGACCGGCGAGTTGCTTTACAGAAAATATGCTTTAGGAAGTGAATATTTCTTCCAGCAGATTTTAAGTCCTAGAGTGTATCGAGCCCATCATTTGTCGTGAGATTGCGTAAAATTATTAAAACGCGTCCCAAGGAATGTGATTATGTGGGACCCTTTTACAACTTGTTTTC